GCGACCAGGGCTCTGGAGGGGGCCGTGGAGGAGCCCCCCCCGCGCACAGGCCCCCGTACGACCCGGCACGGCCCGCGTCATGGGGACTCTGGCTGCCGCCGCCCCCGGCGCCGCCGGGCTAGGGCGATGCGGGAGCCCCAAGGCCCGTGGCCCCTGTGGGCACCATGGGCCCCCTGATCCGCCGCCTGCTGCTCGCGGCGCTCCTGCAGCTGGCCCACGCCCAGGTACGTGCGTCCCGACATCCCGCCCGCCCGCCGTGCCCTTCTCAAGGTTGGCGGAAGTGGGGAGGCGAGAAGCGGCCTCGGCCGAGGGTACTCGCGGATCAGACGTCGCGGGAGTCGGGCCGGCATCCCCTGGGAGGTGTTCCTCCCCACTGGCCTCCCGGCCCATCCCTGGGGCCACTCCCCTGCCCCACCCCATTCCCTGGGCGCAGCTGGGGGGCGGAGCTGCCTCGGTGTCTGTGCGACCTGGTTCGGTGCCCAGTGTGCCCCCTTCTGACCTGCGGCCTCCAGAACAAGCCTGGTCCCCAGGCGTGGAGAGAGGCCTCCGCTGGCAGAGCACGCCTGGCGGGGCATGGCCAGGGCAGGCCCCAGGTGGCCAGGAGGGACAGGTAGAGCTAGAGTGGACTCGGGAGTAGAGCCATCTGGAGAAATGTCAGCGAGGAGTTGAAGCCTCCCGACTGCAAGGGCAGAGCCCTGGGGACGGTGTGGCCCTAACTAGGGTGCCCCTCGGGTCCCGGTCTCCTCTCTCCCGCAGGCGCCCGGCTCCCAGCCTGATGCCCCTGGCCACCAGAAGAAAGGTAATAGTAGCAGCTTCGCACTGGCCAGCACTAAGGTGCGCTGTGTGCTCATCGTCTTGGTTAATCGCTGTTCTGTAAGGTGCAAACTCTTCTGCCCATTTCACAGAAGTGGAAATTGAGGAAGTGGGGTTCCTGGGTTCTGGGTGAACAGGTTGGGAGGGCAGAAGTGGGGGCAGCGGAGGGAGGCTGTGACACGGGAACTAGGGAGCAGCTGCAGGAAGCCCAGTGGGGACGTAACCCCGATGCATCTGTCCCCAGTGGTGTCATGGATAGATGTGTACGCTCGTGCCACCTGCCAGCCGCGGGAGGTGGTGGTGCCCCTAACTTTGGAGCTCATGGGCACTGTGGCCAAACAACTGGTACCCAGCTGTGTGACTGTGCAGCGCTGTGGCGGCTGCTGCCCTGACGATGGCCTGGAATGCGTGCCCACTGGGCAGCACCAAGTCCGAATGCAGGTACTGGGGCAGGTAGAGTGTGCCTGGCTGGGGGTGGATGCTGGTGCTCGGGGCTGACGGGATGGCAGCCAGGGCCCTGGCAGGTTCTCCTTCCTGCCCATGGAGTGTCCTCTTCTTCTCTTCCTCTCTCTTTGTCTCTCTCTCTCTCCCTGTTCTCCCGAACACAGATCCTCATGATCCGGTATCCGAGCAGTCAGCTGGGGGAAATGTCCCTGGAAGAACACAGCCAGTGTGAATGCAGGTGCCAGCCAGGCCCACTTCTGAGCTTGCAGAGACCAGGCGTGGGGGGCGTGGGCGTGGTGGTACCCCGCCACGGGGACCAGGTTTCTGAGTGGAGCCGGGCATGCCTGGGGTCTGGGCAAGAGAGTAGGATGCTTGGCTTTCCTGATCCTCCTCCTCCTTGTTTCTGTCGGTCTCTCTTTCAGACCAAAAAAAAGGGAGAGTGCTGTGAAGCCAGACAGGTGAGTCTCTTGGGCTCCTGTTGAGGTGGGGTTGGAACCCAGGCCCAGTGCCCAGGATACAACGTGTGGGTGGGGCAAGGGCTGTGCAAGTGTGTCAGGAAGCTGTGGCCCACTCCCCTCTTTTTCCTCCCACTTGTGTCCCCCGCCCCCCTTTTCCTCTGCTCCCCAGTGTGTGTGCTCTGACCCAACCCCAGCTCCCTCCAGGGAAGACTCTTCCCGCCCCAGACATGTTGCTTCTCCTCCTAGGGCTGACACTCCCCACCACCATCCCCAGCCCCGCTCTGTTCCGGGCTGGGGCCCTGCCCCCGGAGCACACTCCCAAGCTGACATCACCCATCCCACTCCAGCCCCAGGCCCCTCTGCCCACGCTGTACCCAGCGCCACCAGCGCCCTGACCCCAGGACCTGCCGCTGCCGCTGCCGACGCCGCAGCTTCTTCCGTTGCCAAGGGCGGGGCTTAGAGGTCAACCCAGACACCTGCAGGTGAGGAGTTGTGGGGTGGCAGTTGTTTGGGAAGCCATCAAGGCCCTGCCTTGGAGCAGGTCCAGGGTGAGCCTGCCAGTGGGGTAAGAGCCAGGGAAGGGGAAGCTGTTGAATGGGTTGAACAAATATTTACCAAGTGTCTGCTGGCACTGGGATCAGCATAAACAAGGCTCACATTCCAGGGCAGAAGCCCGGCACAAGGACACTGATGCCAGCAGAGGCCAGCAAGGCCTGTGGTCAGGCGCACCTGGCATCGTCTTTTGAGAGGTCAGAGATGTCCTGGAGGAGGTGCCGTCTGCCTGAAGTAGACCTGAGACAGCTTTCCAGTTTGCAGTGCTCTGGGCCTTCCCAGAAGCCACTCTGGTAGACATCTGTCCCACTCATGGGCTCTGAGAGGCCAGGGGACATAGTGTAACCCTTGTTCACTCTCGTCGAGGGCTTCTCACGACCCATCCCTTGCAGAGTGAGGCCACGAGTGGCGTCACGTGGGCGAGGCCAGTTGGGGTGTCTTTGGAATGTTAGGAAAGAATGAGGTTCGCAGACGGTAACGGGATGAGTCCAGAGGAGCAGATGCTGAGCCGTGGCAGCATGAACAGAATCCCCTTCCTTTCCTCCTCAGGTGCCGGAAGCTGCGAAAGTGATACATTGCTTTTCAGACTCAGTGGGGCCACTTGCCTCACAGGCCATACTCCAGAGGCGGCCTAACGGGCCTGGGCCTCTCCGAGGGCTTTCTGGCCATCTCTTGTCTCTGCAAGGCTGCCGTCCAACATGGTGGGCAGAGTTGGATGAGACTTGGAGGCAGCAAGAGGGGTCGCGTACCAGCTTGGGAGAGAATGGGGTCCTGTTTCAGTGTTTAACCACCCCGTGTAAGTGCGTGTCTTACAGCTGGTCCCTCCCTGCCCTTACTAAGAAGACCCTGATGCTCTGCAAATAATGGGAGTTGGGCTTTGGTATGAGAACTGTGACCCCCGACCCTGATAAAAGAGATGGACGGAGCTATCCCTGCCTGTGTCACTGTTTGTCACTGTCCAGGCTGGCTGGTTCAAGCATGGATGTCTGTTACACTGCCTCCTAGGCCTAGAGCTTCTTACTCCATTCACTGTGCAGATGGAGTAAATGAGGCCCACGGCCCCACACCAAGTCACACTCAGAGCCCAGTCACGTATTCTTCACACTCATGTTGTTACTGCCAGTGCCTGCCCCTGCTCTGGAGGGAGACGGCCTGTTATGGCCAGTGAGTTTGAGGCGGGAAGCAGATCTGCTGAATGACCTTGGGTGTCACCGCCCCTCTGTCCGAGCCTCAGCTTCCCACTTGTGCACATGGAGGACACACGATCACTGTGTTCCGGGCCCTTGGGCTGCAGGAAGGTTTGCGTATGTTTTGACATAACAGAAAAGGACACCCATCTCCCCTGCTGGGCAGCACTGTGTCTCCTGCTTTTGGCCCCCCTGTAGCTTAACTCGAACGCTGTGCACCTGCCTTGTCCCCACCTCACTCCCACCTCCCTGAATGGGAAGCACCAAAGGTCCGTGGCTGGTGGGCTTGGTTTGAGAGACGTCCCCCCGACTCCAACCCCCCGGTTTTCTCCACCTTCACCTCCCTTTCACCTTGGGTGCCCCTGCTTGGGACTCTCCTGACCTTTATCTGCCCCAGTCCAAGCTCACTGCCCAGCCTTCTGCCTACAGACTCCCCTGCTGCCTGGAGCTGAGTGGGGTGGTCCAAAGGCCAACTCGGTACAAATGGCTTTGCCCTGCTGAGGCAGGACCTTCAGGGAGAGGCCAGTGCAAAGCACCCACCCTCGTGTCAGACTTGAGGGTGTGATAGCGATCTGGTTGGGCCCAAGGCAAAAGTGGGGTTAAACCAGAAGAGACAGTTCCTGAGTGATTAGTATCTTCCTGTCATGATAGCCATGCCCTCGGTGAAAATGCCATAGCCCCATTGGGATGAGAGATGAGGGTTAGGGACCCAGGGCTACCATCTGCGTCCACTTGGCCTCACTGGACACGCACGATGCTTGGCACGCACCTCCTTGCTGAGTCCTCAATTCTGCGGTCAGCTCTGTGACTATCTTCCTTTTCATTTGATGAAATAGGCTGATTGACCTGGGATCTGGCCTCAAATCAGCTGTCTCCCTAACTTGGTAGGTTTAGCTGCCTGCTCGCAGCAGATTCACTACTTAATGGAGATGTTTGCTGGGTACTGGGCGCCTGAAAGTAACAGCCACATCACTGCAGGCTGAGTCAGTGGTCAGTGGGCGACATGCAGAGGCAAGCCTGGACGCCGGGGGCGGGAAGGGAGAGCACCGGCTGTGGCCGCGCCTGGTGGTGGGCTCGCAGGGTGGGTGACCCAGCCCGCGGCACAGGGACGCCAAACCCCGCTAGGCCAGGAACTTTGCTCAAGGTCAGAGTCGGTCAGAGACAGGCGGGCCCTGAGTTCAAACCCGTCTCACTCTGAGGCCGAGTCTTTCCACAGCAACTAACTGGGAGCGGGGGGTCCCGAGGACCCCCCAGAGACGTCGCGGGCAAGGCTGGGGGCGACGCAAAATGGCGTCTCAAGACCCCCTCCAGGAACCGCGCCCCCTGACCTTAATCTCACCTCCACCGGAAGTGCCTGTGGTCCTTTCGGAAGTCACTTTCACCTAACCTTACGGACTACCGCTCTGCAGGAAGTGACGAAAGTCACGTGGTGCTGGAGGGCGGGGCTAGGGCGATACCCTCCCCCGCGGGCGGGTGGCGGCGGGATTCGTGCGGCCCAATGAGGGCGGGCGGCGTGGCGGGCTGGTAGCTGCAATGACGCGCCTGCGCAGAGGCGGCGGCACGACGAGTTGACTCCGGGGGCGCGGCGAGGAGGTGAGCGGGGGCCACAGCCCGGGCTGAGGGAGCCGGGGTGTACGCGGGCAGGCTGGGTCAGGCCGGGGTCCCGAGTGTCAAGGAGGGCAGGGTACGAGGAACCTGGAGGCTGGTGCGGGAGCTGTCCGGGGATGCCGCAGGGGGAGGGCCCTCACGCCGCACGGGGCGGGGCCCCGCGAGTCGGGGCGGGACGTGGAACAGAAAAGGGTGGGGCCTCTGAGCTGGTATCTGCGGGAGGCGGGACTCTGGGGCTGGGGGCGGGGCTAGGACTTGTGGGGGGCGGAGCCTGGACCTTGGAGGAGGAGCTGGAACAGGCGGAAGGCGGAGCTTCGGGTTTGGAGACGAAGGGGGACGAGGCCCAGGCGCTGGGGGCGGGGCTTCAGCCGGTGAGTGGCGTGGGTACAGTTCAGGAAAAGGGATCTAGTTCTGTCAAGGGTGGGGCTCCAGGGCTGGGGGCGGAACCACGCCCTCTAAAGGGTGGGGCCAAGGAGCCGAGCGCAGGGGTAGGCCCAGGTAATGGCCCGGGGCGTCACCGCGGGGGCGGTCTCCGTGGTG